CCAATCAGGGTTAAGAAATCATGATTTATAGGATGGACGCTAAACCGCAGAGGTTCGGTTCAAAAAAAACCCCAGAGAATCCAACCCCATCACGAGCTTGCCCGCCTCCCGCATCCAAGCATGTTAGCTCATGTTAACAAAACAATGAGAGCTTTGCAAAATCTCTACAAAAGGTGGAACGCATGCCTAAATAGCAAATAAACACATAAATAAACATTTTTCTGTCTTGTTTCAAAAGGAGGCAGTGATTCACCCAAGAGAAAGACCCGAATTTGTTCCCCAAAAACATTTTGGGGGGAAAAAGGACGCAGAATGTCCCTTCTGTTTCTCACAGCCAGAGCAAAATTAATTTTACTGAAAATTAAACGGGCCTGTTTCTAAGGCGTCTCGAGATCCATTTGTTGCAAACTAAAATAGTTGAAGGGAAAATTGACCCAACTGTCGCTTAAAGTAAAAGTACTGTGCAAGTTAGTAAATCCATAAATAGAAATTATCTTGGTCTAACTGGGTTAGGATTTGATGAAAATGCTAGCCAAACAAAGCACAACCTAAAAGCTTAGATTGAAAGGTCGGGAGATAAACTCACCTGCTTGAGGTCTTCGTTCCTTGGATTGTCCCAGAAGAGGGAAAGAAAGTTTCTTGCGCTGTCCCCACCTTCTCAATGCAGAAAGGCTACGGGAGGCCTCTCATTTGTGAAGATCCAAGCCAGCCCCCAATCTGACAGGAGGAAGATTCCGACTATTTGGGCAAGAGAACTGTTGAATGCTGAATTTATCTTCCGTCAATAATCTCAGCATCCTCTTTGGACTGCATCTGCCCCCTACAGGAAGACAGGGGGCATTACGAGCGCATCTTAACACGGGGTGCTATACAGGTAGCCGTTTGACTTCCCAGAAATTCATTACGTGATCGTCCGGTTACTCTGTTTCCCCCAAAATACCAGGTTTCCCTGAAAATAAGACAGGGCCTTGTTTTCTTTTGACCCACGAAATAAGCGCTTGGCCTTATTTTCAGGGAGATATTATTATCATCATCACACCAACAGAATTGTGTCACAGCGGCCAGTTGTTTCGCCGGATTTGGCATTGATTACTAGTCGGGCCCCACCCAGGGGCCTAGGACGTCATAACATATTTTCATAATATGCGTGCAAATCCAAGCAGTGCAGCTTTTTGCATTTGACTGATGGTGATTTTGTCGATTTTTAACTGTTTTAAATGTAATTCCAGTGCTTTTGGAATAGCACCCAGTGTGCCAATTACCACTGGAATTACCACTGCTGGTTTGTGCCATANATACAAGCAACATGGCTATAGTCATAAGTGGGAAGAGATAGGTACTAGGAAGAATGAGAAGAATCTTAGTAAATTGTTTGACAATGTTGTGGGAATTAGTTGTTTAGCAGAGTGTTGGCATTCAGGAAAAAAATGTTCGTGTGTCGAGTTGTTCTGGTGTGCAATGCTGAAGGTAAGGATTGAAATAATTTATGTTGAGGATGTGAGGGGTCTGTAGATATTTTCACAGCTCTCTTTTTGACTTGTGCAGTAGACAGGTCCCCCATGGAATGCAGGTTGGTAGCAATTTTTTTTTTCTGCAGTTCTAACTATCCATTGAAGTCTGTGTTTGCCTTGTTGGATTCCAGAGCCAAACCAGACAGTTATGGAGGTGCAGATGATAGACTCAATCATTCCTCTGTAGAACTGTATCAGCACCTCCTTGGGCAGTTTGAGCTTCCTGAGTTAGTGTTATTATTATACGTTAAATCGGAAAAGACTTGCAAGTGGGGCACCTTGAGGAGAGACGGGATGGGCAGGCAGGAAATGAATAAGGTACTCAACAGCGAAAGGTAAAATGTTTTAGACAAGGTTTCATTTTAACCGAAGATTGAACAACTGCATGATTCACTTAACAACTGCAGCGACCCGCTAAAGAACCCCAACCAGGAAGGTCGTAAAATTGAGCCTATGGTGTGCAACAACCGCCTTGCTTAGCAACAGAGATTCTGGTTCCAATCGCAGTCGTTAAATCGAGGACTTAATGAAAACTCTTCCCTTCCCCTGCCTGTTGGATTGCTCTTGTCACAGCGAATCTATTTGCAGTGCCAGGATCCTCACCCAATTTTTTCTCCTGGCTATCAGCCTTCATCATCTCCCTTGCCTTGCACCTGCTCCCTTAAATCAATCCTTCCTAGGAGAGACGATGGGCCTATGATAAGGTCTGTGGCCGGCTGCCAGCCGAAAACAATGCAGCCAATCTTCATTTGACAGTGTGCCTGTCCAAGCCAAAGACCTGTCAGCTTGTTTTGCAAGAGATGCTCTTGGCTGACAGCTCCAGCCTGAGTCGGAATGAAACCCGTCCATAGAATTCATGTGGGGTCCTGTATTCATTTTTGGAACAGGCAACCCAAGTAAATAGAGGGAGTCCTTGACTTACAGCCAGAATTGGGACCTGGATTTCCAAAAGCGGCTGTTTGGAGTGTCAGGCCTGCCCCGATCTGATCCCATAGGAATTCTTTTATGAAGTTATGTTGACTGCTGTAAAGTCAGGAGAGCTCTGGGTTTCCCTCACTCAAAAGATACACAGAGGTTCCCCCTCATTCCAGCCTTATCTCCATGACTAGTCCATCTTCAGCCAATCAGAACTCGCCAAAGTGTTTTGAGAATGCTGAGAAATTTTGGGGTAAATCCACATACTTACTCAGGATTCCGGGGCTTGGATAGTGGTACGAACTGGTTCTCTGATCTTTATCACTTCAGATCAGACATATGAACAATCCGATTTACGATCGTCACAGACTCCATTACAGTCGGATGTCAAGGACTACTTGTGAATCTTCAAGGCTGGTGCTAAGCATGTTGTCTTCTTTGACAGTCATGAAATCCTTTAAGTCAGGGGTTGGCAACCTTAAACACTCAAAGAACCACAAAGGTCCTAACTGGAAACCCCCTGTGCAATTCTGGAGCCGACCAGAAGTCCGGTTCCCCCACCATAGAGTCTCCTTCTAGTGTGATGTCCTTTTTCCTCTGCCAACCAGAAGTCTTGTTCGCTCACCATAGAGTCTCCTCCTAGCACAGTGTCCTTTTTCTTCTACCTGTCCTAACTGAAAGCCCTATCAATCGTGCCAACCGGAAAACCCGCCCCTTGCCATAGAGTCTCCTCCTGGCATACCCTGCTCCACCACCACCCCAACCAGGAGCTCCTTTCAAAATTGTGTTGCCAACTGGCGACAGGGAGCCGCAGCAGAGGGATGAAAGAGCCACATGCGGCTCCAGAGCCACAGGTTGCTGACCCCTGCTTTGAGCCATTTGTTTATGGCCAAACCAAGAAAAAAACAGCCTCGCCAAAATCTCTATTCTGCTTTAGCTGCGGAGCAGACAATAAAGCAGGTGGAAAAGACGAGATATTTGTTTAAAGCGAATTTGGGGAGGGGAAAACGTGTTGCTTCATGAAAGAACCAGCGGAATTTCAGGAGACACATAGCCAGGCCATTCCCAGGCTTAATGCTGGCTTTCAGACCTGCCACCCTGTAGAAGTCATAAGAATGCGAAACGATTTGCTTTCCGTCAACAGAGAGGAGAGAGAGAGAAAAACCGGGACGTACTGTGAAGTATGCCAGCGCTTGTTAGCAGCGCAAAATGGCACAGAGTGCCTGGAATGTCTCTGTTTATCCCATGCATAGAGCGAAATTCTTTCAATTAATATCCAATTAGCCATGGCGGAGTGATGGGCAGGGATGTTCCTTGGTGGGAGCTCAGCCGGAAGAATTTTTCTTAAGCCCTCTTCCCAGTGGCAGACTTCAACAAGTGATATCCCATCTGACTTGTGACACTTCCAGACATGGTCTATTTTCAGACATCTTTAGAGCTAAAGTCAATCAGGAAAAGATATCCCCCTTCTCCAGTTTCAGATATTCTACTGTGCCAAGGGTTGGTGGCTTTCAAAATCTGTTGCTTGAGTTTTCTTGCTGGGATGGGGAAGATTGGCCACATAATGTTTCTGGACAGCAGAAGGGCTGTTACTCACCCCCCACCCCACCCCAAATTTAAATGTAGTGGTCCACAACTGAGCCCCAAACATTCTGGAAGCTCAAACTGCTCAAGGAGCTGCTGATTCAGTTCTACAGAGGAATGATTGAGTCTGTCATCTGCACCTCCATAACTGTCTGGTTTGNTCGAATCTCACCAGGCTCAAGGTTGACTCAGCCTTCCATCCTTCCGAGGTGGATAAAATGTGGACCCAGATTGTTGGGGGAAAGAGGCTGACTCTGTAAAACTGCTTAGAGAGGGCTGTAAAAGCACTGTAAAGTGGTATATAAGTACTTGCTATTGCTATTGCTATTAAAGTCAAGTGGTAACAGCATAAGCAAAGCTGGATCTGAATATTCCTGCGCAAAGATCACAATTTTCCCATCTCTCTGGTTCCCCCCTCTCCCCCCCGCTTCACCGGTCCATCGGTGTCCAAAGGTATTCGTCCTCAATGTTTTGGAAATTGCTTTGAAGCTTGGCAAAGCTTCTGTGGTGGAGTTTCACGTTCTGTTCTCATGGCTCCATCCTTGATCAACTGGTTCATTCCGGATTGATGCCTCTGGTTCCTGTCACCCTGTCATCCCCCTCCCACTTCCTTCCTTCCTTGCTTCCAGCCATCTTCCTCCCACCTCCCAGCCAGGCAAGATATCCTGAAGATGGCAGACCTGACACCCTCCCTCTTTTCTCTGTAGGATTGTGTACGTTCAGTGTAACACTTCCCCTGTATCCATTGCCTGGTTCTCCTCTGGATACCCTCCGACCAGAAACCAAGGTATTTATTAAAACAACAACAAAAACAACAAAGAGTACAGATTCATACTTGGCAGGAGTGGGCTTCAAAAATTTCAGCAATGAGTTCTCTGCCTGGTTGCTGGGTGGGTGTGTTGTTGTAATCATCATCAACAACAAATATTTGCCACTTCTATCCTAAGTTTGCTTTGATTTTGCAGGCTTCCATCGATGTCTTAGTATCTGTCCAGGAGAGCTTACTGACTCAAAATCAGCTATCCGAAGGCAATCTGCTGAGAGTGACTGTAGAAGCTCTCTATTCTGTCCCTGAGGCATTTATGCACACCGGTCCTCAATATAATTACATGGTTGGCTTTCAGGTGCCAGCAGTTGGTGAGGTGAGGTGATGAAATCCCATGTCCTTATATTCCTTTTTTTCTCCAAGTCTCGGTTTGTTGCTTTTTTGCATTTCCGTCTGCTTTTCATTATAAGCACGTCCAAAATGTAGGATGTGCTGCAAGTCCCAATGGAATGGAACCACATCGAGCCACTGGGAGATGTCAAAAGTTGAATCTTGTTGCTCCAAAGTTCTGGTTTGAGATCTCATTTCTCCATCTTGAAGCAAGGCTTTTCCAGCTGTTCTGTAATTTTGGCTTTTGAGTTGGGTATTCTTTAAGGAATAGAATAGGAATGGAATAGAATAGAATTGAATTGAATTTAGAATGGGAAAGAATGGAATGGAATGGAATAGAATGAAATGGAATAAATAGAATAGAACAGAATAGGATTTAGAATGGAAAAATAGGAGAGGAGAGGAAAGGAAAGGATAGGAATTAGAATGGGAAAGAATAGAATAGAAATGGAATGGAATAAAATAGAATAAAGAGAGCGAGAATGGAATGGAATGGAATAGAATAGAATAGAATAGAATAGAAGAATGAGAAAGAATGGAATGGAATAGAATTTAGAATGGAATAGAATAGAATAGAAGAATGAGAAAGAATGGAATGGAATAGAATTTAGAATGGAATAGAATAGAATAGAATAGAAGAATGAGAAAGAATGGAATGGAATAGAATTTAGAATGGAATAGAATAGAATAGAATTGAATTGAATTTAGAATGGAAAAGGATAGGATAGGATAGGATAGGAACAGATAGGAGTTAGAATGGGAAAGAAT